ATGAGATTTTTTAAGAGCACCGAAACTACAAAATATAACAAATTAATGTATCTCTTTGTCTTTTTGTCGAAAATATCCATGTATTATTGTAGAATGATTGACTAGCCTTCATTCATGCAATCATAGAGTCTGCAAATAACTATTATCTTATGAATCTTAATTTTTTTTAATCACTTCCGGTGGCGAAAGTTTTGCTCCAAAAGCTCGCGCGTAGGCTTCCATTAAATGCTGATTATCTCGAAAACAAGCTAGGGACACCCAATTTTTCTTTCCAGACTTGGAATCAGCATTAAATTTCAATTCGGAAAATCGAAGTTTTAAAAAAAGTTTAAATTGTTTTCCAAAAGTAGGCAGTCACCTTAAAAGGCTTGCGGAGCTTTCAAAATGCCGCTGAAAATTGTTTAAATTTTCATTTTTTTAATTAGGTATTTTATGTCTAGTTTAAACCGACACACTCAAAAATTCTTCCACTCGAAAAAAGTTTATGTTTATATGTCGTAAACAGGTTGAATTCAAACCATGTTGGGATACCTGTATTTGTGTGTAACTGATCCCTGGAGAATTTGTAGTCATAGGAACGGCGGATCCAATTAAATCTCGTCATTTTATTAGTTTAGTTTGCCGTTCATTAAAACAAACTTGGAGCAACTTCTAAAGGTTAGGATCGGTCACATTATCTTCATAGACAGAGAAAAAAAAACCTTGACTTCTTGAGGGTGTTGTTGAATGGATACAATGCCTACTACATTTATACCGTCAGGAAACAAGCCATTAATCGTAAGAGGCACAATTCAAGAGTCATTCCACGACTCGCTGCCAAACACAAGTAGATATGCATGGCCTACTAAAGAAGACCCTAGGCCGTCTAGCCGAGCAAGTTTCCCAAGCCGTGCCAGCAAAAACCCGTTCTTTGCCAGGCATAATCCTCATCCTCAAAGAGTCAGGCATCTAAAAGGTTTGCTAGATGTTCCAGTTTGTACGGTGATCGACTCGATGGGCGCAGAAGACGATTCCAGTCGATTTTTAGTCTCCACGCCAACGATAGACCAAATGAGACAGCGTCCACTCAAAGGGCTTCGAATGCCTATCAACGCACAGAACTATGTTGTTGTACGAGAGAAAGCAATTCCTTCAATTGGTTTAGGTTAGTAAAAAAAGCCAATGTCGTGTTTATATCCGTTCAAATTAAAAGTCAATTCGCTTATTAGTAGTCTTAGTTACTATCCTAATTGTTTGGAGTGCTAATGCCACGGAATTCTATCAAATATATTAAATCTACTTCAGTAAACAAAAACTTTTTGGCAGGCTTATGTACTCATAGACCCTAACTCTTCATATCGACCAGTTTTACGAAATAAAAGCATCTTTTTTTGCAATTATTATCCCAAGTTTTTTAGGAACATTGTTGTTGCTATGCTAATGTTTGATTCTTTGTTATCAATAAACGAAAACTCTTCGCAAAGTAGAAATAACAAGATTACAGTAAATTCTGTTATCATAGCTTAAGCTCTAAATGTGTATATTGACTTTTTATTGACTTATACTCCTTGGCTGTGTTAAGTGAAAGTATATTGGCCTTGGAAGCTAGGTAGAAGTTATCAACATTCGATTACAACCTTTTCAGTGCCAGCGTCGGGACATGTGCGTGCCCTTCGATGTATTGTCATTTGTTGTTGTAATTTAAGACTTCAGTTTCCTGTCTATTGCAGTTCATTTCCTAAAAAAAAAACTTCCAAGTACTTCGACATTCACGATCGAGAAAAATTTAACGTATTTTTCATATCATAAAAAAAAATCGACATTATCTTAATTGTCTTAATTAAGTGAGATTGGCTTAAGCAGATACTGATTAAAAAATTTACATGTGAAACGGAGCCACACTCTTTTCAATTTACCTTAAAATTGGTTAATATTCATGTTATGGGTTTTTGAAAAGCATTAAATATTAAACGCTTATTTATAGAAATAATTCGGAATATGCATCACTCACAGGTATTAACCTAGCAACCCTTTCCCCTGCTGTCCATTTGTAGTGGTATGGGACCTGCATGATTTTACATGAAATGGTTTCTAAGTAACAGAACGATACAATGGCAGCTGTATATCAGTTATACACTGCCTGATAATTTTAGCCAGTATTGATATTTTTCACAGCTGTCATATTGGGTAAATTAAACAGGAGCCTAGTCATTTAGTCTCTTTTGTTATRTCRTCCAACATGGCTGCCTTGTTTTTGTTACTTCATCCTCTTGAAAATAATTGAAAACCAGAAATTATAGATTCATACTTAGAAATTTTACTATTTTTTAAAGTAATTAACATGTTAGTGATATGGATTATTATTTTCAATTAGTATCAAACCAAGAATAGTTTCCTTCTCGGTTCCCTGTGCAATCTTGAAAGGTAGCTGTGCCTTTTCATTGAAGCGAAACGAACGGTGGGCTCGCAATCATAGAGACATGGGACTAATTGTCCAAGGTGTTAAGAAAGGTCTTTATAATAGCCCACTTCCGAGATATGCTTTGCTTGTCACGCACAAAGGTTTCAGTATGAGGCTGCGTGCTAAATTAAATTTATTCTTACCGCCTGTCACGAATGACTGAGCATTTAGCACATAGCCTCATACTGAAACCTTTGTGTGTGACAAGCGAAGCATATCTCGGAAGTGGGCTATTGCAAGGTCACTGTTTGTCTCGCTTTGATGCAAAGGCATGGCTACCTTTCAAGATGGCACAGCGAACTGTGGAAGGGACTATTATGAGAGATCCAACAAACAACTCTGCTCACTTACAGTATGACACCGAGCACGGCAGGACTCAAACCCAGGTCCCATTGATGAGAGGAGAGCGGACTCACCGCTATGCCACCTGTGCTTCCCTTGCATACTGTATCATACATATTAAATTATTATTATTATTAATTGTTTTTATGGTCTTAGTAATTTAGTTAATTGATGGAAACCCAAAACCCAGACATCTGGGGTTGCATGTTAAAAATATATAAATATACAGTGTACCATATGCTCTACAGTTCCAATTACTCACACTTGGAGAGACGAGCTGCGCAAACTGACTGAAGCTGCTGGCTTCAAGACGAAGAATCCCTACACCATCACTAATGCGTACCAAGTACCTGGATCCAGGCAAGGGTCCCGTCAAGGGGAAAGGCCTCCTCCCTCCAGGAATGGTGAGAACCCACCACCATCAAGGGGAGGTGAGCGGATACTACAATCAAGACAGATGTCCAGGCAGAGTGAGAGACCTCCTCCAACTCTTCAAGGCAACATTGAAAATCGTCCACTTGAACACATCTCCATGTTCCCTGACAATGAAGGATATGTAAGTAAATCAGACTGCATAGAAAGTATCATATACACCTATTTCAAACAACTATGTCTGTTGGAGATCTGAAATCTAAGACTTAATAGCACACTCCAATCGAAAATTATAAAAATTACATATGCACAGCCAAACAACATATGTAGTTCCCTTTTAGGTTGGAATATGAAGCATGACCTTTTGAGTTAGAAATGTGATTTTTCGTATTTCAGCAAGGAGACTTAAAAGTACAAAATTTCTGTCAGTCTCAGATTACACATTTTAGATCTCTGACCCACTGCAATGTTTTTTTT